TAAAAAGTCATTAACCTAATGCTATATTTTTGGATTTTTAGTTATTAAGAAAGTATTAAAATCTAACCTAAAATGCAACCCTAGTTTAATTATGAAAATTACTAATATTATGGCAAAAAACAAGGAAAGTTAAAAGGAATAAAAAAGTCATTAACCTAATGCTATATTTTTGGATTTTTATTTATTAAAAAGAATTAAATTGCAAACATCCTAATTAAAACTAAATTCATTATACATTAATTTATTTACAAGAAAATAATTATAATAAAAATATTTACTCTTTTTTTTGGTCTTTTCTGGTTTTTAATTAAATTTTTGTATTTTGTAAAGAAAACAATTGATTAATTAAAACAATGAAAATAAATAAAAAAATAAATTATGAAAAGCAAAGCAAACCAGGGGGGGTGACCCCAAAATTGGAGGTAAGGCCTAGCATTCTGGCCCATTAAGCATTGGCCTTGTTGGACTTTTTGAATCCTGCGTGACACGTTTGACTCAAGCGCAGCATACTCTTTTGATCTAAGCCTTTAGTGTGGATTGGATGGACACGTGGGCATCTGGATGATGATGGTACATGGTGCACCATAGTGTTGTGCCTGCATAGGAATTGCCATTGCAAAATAATATTGAAGTTTGCCAGACCTGGGACTTGAACCCAGGTCTTTGATGCTACAAGTACGTCCACCTGCCAGCTGAGCTACCACGCGTTAGTTAACATATTATAATAAACAAATAACAAAAGAAAAGAATAAAAGCGTTAGTGGCTAAGCGCGAAAATTTCAAACTGGCCAATCACCGCTAGACAGCACATCATCTCCTTCGTTGTTCATTCTTTTTTTCTGAAACAAAAGTCTATGGAAACGGTTTTCATGCGTGGCTTAAAGTAGCTTTTAGAAAAATAGCGACTAGCGCTATAGGACCAATAAATTGGGCGCGAGTGGTGCTTTTTCTTCGTCCCTAAACACTGAGTTCAACCATGGTGGTCCTGAGTCCTAATTTTTCCTCTAGGCAAAATCCCCAATTTCAAAAACCTGTAACCCTAAATATCGTTCATGGCCAAATCACATGTATTGCTCAAAAACGAAATCAATTATTATGGTTAGCTTTGAAACTTTGCAAGGAATAAGAATCTACAATTAAAATGCAATGATCATGCTTAGAATTGAGAATACGATTTCAAAAAAAGTTTTGTACAGTTTGAGTACGATCCACCAATTCCTTACGCTTTTGTTGTTGTTTTTGATTGAGATTTGTTCAGGAGTGCCTCAGGATGCTAATGGGAAAAGAATTAAGGCTTGAAAGATCCTCTAGCACTAATTTCCGATTTTTGTTTTAAGGAGAAATTTTCAATGTTTAAAAACTTGTTTGGGCGCAGCATGTGATGTCCTCAGCTTAGGGTTTGACTTAGTGATTATATTGGAATGGAATTGGCTTACTCTTTTGCCTTAATTCATGCTTGTGAAGGAATTAGTCTTAGGGTTTTCACTCTTAACCATTTTTCCTCCTTTTTAGCCAAAACCTAGACCTAGTGTGCAAATGAACCCTAGCCTGATTTCTTGACTTGGTTCATGATACATAGAAATTGTCCAAGTTCACATGACACTATTCCATTGGTTTTTAAATTTTATTTGAATTTTCAAAGAATTAAAATGAATTAAATCATCAAAAATTAAATAAAATAAAAAATCAATATTTGGTCTTGAAACTAATCATGGGACACGTGTGTGGCATGACAAGGATGAACCAAGTGGAAAAAATGGGACCCTTTTGTCAAAAATTGGATTTTCAAGGATAGTTGACTTTTGCCATTTCACAAAAATTTCCCAACTTCTACAAGGCATAACTTGCTCAATTTTTAAGCTTTTCACATGTTCTTGGACATTTTGGAAAGGTCTTTGAGTCCTTTAACCAATGCCTTTGGTCCCATGTCATTTTGATTTACCAATCTCAAGTTATGGCCTTTGACTTAAAGTCCCTTTTTGTTGACTTTTGAAAATGACCTATAATGTTGAAATTGATAACTTTTTGTGAGAGCATTTCTTGGACTTGAAGTATGAAGATGAGTTGTAGGAAATGTCTTTCTCTTCAAAATGAGCTTTGGATGGAATTTTTCTGATAATCCATGTGAAAGTTATGCCCTGGTCAATTTCAGTTGACTTTTTCAGCTGTCCAAATATAGCAACTTTTGCATCTTTGATGATTTCTGAGCCAAATTTTGAGAATCATGATCAAGCATTGATCAAATGATGTTTGTGGCTTCAAAATGATATGTTGACCAAAAATTTGAACTTTTGACTGTCAAATGACCATTTTGCCCCTACAGTTGACTGTAGTGCAATTTAGGGTTTTGACTGTGCAATCTTGAGCTGAATGCCTTGAAACTTGATATGAGGATGCTTGACCATGTTTGTAGGCATATGAGACTTGATTGGGTCCTTGAAAACTTTCAATTCTTGATCAGAACACAAACCCTAGTTTTGACTGTATAGGAAACAGTTGCACTGCACAACCCTTGGGAAATTTTGTAGCTTGGCTTGGCAATCTCTTGAAGAATATGGGAGGGCAAATTTTGGGGTACAACACAAAAGGAGATGAAACTCGTTTATTGACTCGATTGGGAAATTGACTACGAGTGTGTTTCCCTAACTGACATGACTCACAATGTAAATTAGATACCTTTGATAAACTTGGCACCAACTTCTATAGTTTAAGAAGACTAGGATGGACTAACCGACTGAGCATGAATAGTGAGTGGATAATCTTTGGTTGAGCATGTCTGAGATGACACTGAGAGGTAATAAAGGCCTTAAGACTCACATCCGACGCCAATCGTCTGTCCCGAACTCTGTTCTTGCAGAGTGACATTACTATTAGTGAAGGTGACAATACAATCAAGAGAATGAATTAAACGAATGACTGAAAGTAAATTAAAGGGACAATTAGATAAATAAAGAACAAAAGTAATAGAGATAAAAGGTAGAATTTGAATAGTATCAATTCCTACGGATCGGGTTTGAGAACTATTGACAGAAGTTATAGTAGGTAAGAAACCAGAGGTAGAGAGGGAAGTGAAAAGATTTTTATTACCAGTAACATGATTAGACGCACCAGAATCAAGGACTCAAAGTCTAAGAGAATATGATTGAGAGAGGCAAACAAATGAATGACTAATATGTGCAACTGAAGTAGTAGAATCTGAGTTCTGATACCACCGAAGGAAATCATCGTAGTTTGGCCTAATATTCTGAGGAGTAGCCATGAGTATCCGATCTGGAATAATTGCAAGGTAGCGAGTGGGGCGATGAAAAAAACTGATGGGATTGACCGGATCGGAAGAGGCGTTTATGCCGGTAGGGTTAGTTTGTCGAAAGGTGGCCGAAAATAGTAGCGACGGAGGGGATGGCGGTGGAAGTTCGATGGTGACCGGAGAAATTCAAAAACTGATGCTAGAATGAATCGCGGCAGTGTAGGAAAGGCAAACTAGAGTTATCACATGGTTTTCCAAAAATTTCTCACCGGAAGACCGTGGGTCAACCGAGTAAAGCACTCAGTAGGCTCTGAATACCATGTTAAAATACAAGAGACTAAAAGACATTTGAATAAATTGTGTATAAATAGCACAACGGAAGATGCATTATATAGGAGAAAATACAAATCCTAGTATTAATTACATAGCTATCAAATCCTATTCTAGAATACACTAAGAAATATTCTAAAGAATATTCTCTTTATATATATATACATATATAATTATCAACACATTTTATAGACAACAATATCTAATTTATAGACAAAATTTTGAAGAAGCTCTTATAGGTCATCGAAATCAAGCAACACTTCACATCGATGGAGCATCTTTAAACTAAGAGTGGGGTAGAGGTCTCGGACAGAGTCCTAATAAGAGGGCTAAGAAGACTAGAGGGATTTATAAGCAATTGGACATAGGAGCTCTCACATGTGCTCTGAGTGTACATGACTACGAAGGAAAACATATTTCACACTAAGGAAAACTAACAACGTTTGGGAAAAGCTAGATTTCTTAGATGAAAAGAAATGTTTTTTTGCCCTTACCCATATTGATGTCAAGCAAGCCACAACTATCGGTTACAATAAATTTTTTTTTTATGTGGTTTTAAAAGCAAACTTAAAATCAAACAATTGTCTTTCTCATAGTAGTATTCTTTGTAGAATATAATCAAAATATCATTTAATTCTTAAAGATTGAAAGATTTTGAAATTATTTTAAAAACATTAACTGAAAAATGTATCAAAATTTCTTTACTCCTATTTTATATGACTAAGAAATTATTGCAAGATAAATATAAATAGAGTTCTATACAATTTATGAAAGTAATATATATGAACAAACTAGTCATAGATTTAGAAAATAATCTCAAAGATGGCTAGTTTTTTTTAACAAGGTTGAATAAATTTCTTTGAGAAATCATATCCTTTTAGGAGATATATAATGTATTATAAAGATGTTCAAAGAAGTTTAATGGAAGAGGTTCATTCCGAAATAGCATCATGAAATATCTACGATATCATATTTTAGAATATCATATATTCCAATTTTCTTTAAATGTAAAGAGAAGTCTTAACTTTAAGCATTTTCGACTGTATATTTCAAATATTTCTCAATAAATATTTTAGTATCAATAGACGCAATATGTATCGCAACATTTGAAATAGCTGCAATCACAATATTCTTAACTTCGATATTAATAAAAGATTCCGAATATTTTTTTCGTATTTTCTTAATCCTTATTTTTGTCTCTTGTTTCAAACTTGGCTTATTATCCATATTCTTGTGAATCTTCATATATAGCTGTCCCTTTTGGATCCCTTAGTTCACCCCCATTTACATGAATATAAACCAATCACAAACGTCAAGTTACACAATAGAGAGAAAGAAAGAAACAAAAACAAGTAACATATCCTTTATTTAGTAGTGAAAAAAATCATATAAAGTGTTTAAACATTAAAACAACATATTTTAGATGATGTCTGATGAATTACAGAGAGTTGTGGTGATCCACCATGCATCTAGTGACTTAAGTACAAAAGCACTTAAATGGGCTATCAATGGCTTTTCACTTGATCATGGAGATACCCTTACACTTGTTGCAATTATTCGCCATGTAAATAGTCCAACTAGTGCCCGATTTCGTGAGCTTCTTATAAGCCTAGTTATTTTCCTTTTTTATACTTCAATTTTGTGGTATCTTTTATCATTCTATGCTTCTCATAGAGAATTACCTTTTTTCCAAATTTCTTCAGGTGCAATATTTGGTAATGATCAGAACATTGTTGAGGAAGAAGTTGCTAAGAAGAAAGAAAAACTGCATAATCATCCATCCATCATGAAAGTTTCTGAGCAGTGTGAAAAACACAAGGTTTGAATTTGATAGCAACTTGCAACTAGATGATCTAGATTGAAGAATATGTGACTTTAAAATTATATCTTATTTAATTTGTTCCAACTTTTACAAGAAATTTGACTCTCATCAGTTGATTCATGTAACCGGTCTCATCTGTCTCATCTGGTGAGATAAAACTTGATTGTCGTTGTTGTATATTATTGTCTAATGGAATCCTTTTCGTGAATGAAATTAATCAGATTCGGTTCTTGATAGAAGTACTTCCGGGCAAGTTACCGGAGCATGCTATAAATGCGGCCGTCCGATTGAAAGCAACATCGGTTATACTTGATAGGTTAGTCCATCTCTTTCAAACATTTATTTTATATAATGTCAAATTTAATTTAATGATCAATTGAAATGAGAAAAATGTTTGCAGAGATATGAAGAAATATAAGAAGGATTTCATGGAGAGTCTCTCTTGTGCTTTACTAATAATGAAAAGTGGTAACTCCATTAAGCACTTGAGAGGGCCAAGGAAAACAAACATTTCTTTTACAGGATATAACAATTCAGGTCCTGAATTCTCACCGAGTTTGTGGAGCATGACAAACGCGGTTTTCCGTTCAAAATCGAGCTCTAATCTAACGAAAATTGTCTGTCATCAATTTCATTGTCAAACAAAACAAACGCCCGAAGATAAAGATCTAGATATGGCACGAGGTTATTGCCTATTACCGATTCCTGATAATCAAAAGACTAGTGTTCTTGAAATGTTTCCTAAGGAGACAGCATTTGAACATATCAGAAACCATAGAACATATCAAATAGTTGAAAAGTTCAAGAATTCTGTTTGCAAAGTGTGTGAGAACAAAAGGCCGAAATTTGAGCTGATGAAAGAATTCACATATGTGGAGCTGCATGAAGCAACGCATGGTTTTTCGCTGAAGAATTTTTTATCGGAAGGTGGATTTGGTTCGGTTTATTGGGGAAAGATGCAAGGACTCAAGATTGCTGTTAAGAAACATAAGTTTGCAAGTCTTCAAGGAGAGAAGGAATTCAAATCTGAAGTTAATGCACTAAGCAAAGCAATACATGAAAATGTGGTCATGCTGCTAGGTTCTTGTTCCGAGGGAAATAACAGATTTCTTGTATACGAATTTGTTTGCAATGGTTCACTTGATCAACATTTATCGGGTAAGAGAAAAATCATCTTCGAAAATAGATGTTTTAAATGAATAAAAAATTGTTTCATGAATCTTCTAATATATGACTATAAGTTTGACTGGTATGCATTTTCAGTGTAAAATAAGTTTTACGGATGTATTCAAACACATTTCGCTTCGTGCATGTGTAAAACGATTAGACATTGATAGTATATAGTAATTAAATTTTATGACTAATACAATTATGATATACTAACTCTCTACATTTCAAATTCATGCAGAACACTCAAGAAAGCCTCTTACTTGGCCAGACAGGATCAAAGTAGCTATTGGAGCTGCAAAAGGCTTATTGTATTTGCATGAGAATAACATAATACATAGAGATGTGAGACCGAGTAACATTCTTGTCACACATGATTATGAAGCAATGGTAATGCAGTACACAGATTATGATACTAGTTATTGAATTTTGAAATACTAGAGACTTAATAATCATTCAAGTACTTATTCTATTTATCTATCAGCTGGGAGATTTTGGTCTGGCTCGAACGGAACAAATGGATTCAGTGTACTCAACAGATGTTGTTGGAACTTTAGGATATATGGCACCAGAATATGCAGAATCTGGTAAAGTATCAACCAAATCAGATGTGTATTCTTTTGGCGTTGTGCTTCTTCAGCTTATAACAGGAATGAGGACCACAGACAAAAAGATCGGGCACAAAAGTCTTGTGGGATGGGTAACAATCTTTGTCAAAAAACACTTTTCATGTAATTACATCATAAGTGTTAGAGTCGTGTGGGACATTAGACATGTCTTCGATCTGAAGAGTCAGTGTTACATAACGAATAAGTGTCATATTCCTAACTCATTGCAATTTGCATGTTATGTTCCTTTCAAATATTGATGTCTTGATTAATTTTTTCAGGCTAGGCCATTGCTAAAGGAAAGGAACTATCCAGATCTAATTGATGAAAGGATGATGGATACCTATGATTGCCATCAGCTTTTTTGGATGATTCGTTTAGCCGAAAAATGTCTCACCAGGGATCCTCATAAGCGTTTACCAATGGATACAGTAAGTATATAGGATCAACGATTTTCTAATCATTTGACACATCAACACCTGTAATCATTTGAAAAAATGAATAAATAACGTAAACACAAGTCGTGCAACACTGACACGACCACACCATATTTCTGAAGTGTCAGTGCTGCAGAGATAATAATTTTGTTATATATATGGGTGCAGGTGGTTAGTGCATTAACTCATATAGTAGAAGGCAGCACATGTAGCATGGTACTGAGAGACTGTTCTCCAGCACGGTCTGATTCATCTTATGACATGTCAGAATCTCCTATGTCAGGTGTCTCACCAGAATCAGAAGATGAAGAAGATGGAATTGTCTGTGTAGGATGCAACACAGTTAACTTGCGACCTCCACCATCTCCTCCATTAGGAAGCACTTCATGGAGTAGTACATCAAGCACATGTGTTCACATGGCTGAATGAATCTTATTATGATGATTTAATGAAATAAGGAGAATAAGGGTTAAATGTTATACTATTATTATCTGGTTTTGAGTACTCCTAAAACGATAACAGTGATCATAGTCTTCATCTTCTTTTTAGTATTATTCAAATAATGTTGCTCCTATTTTTACTAATTTTATAGTTCAATATCAAATTTTGTTATATATTAACTCTATCAATACTTTTTTTTCTCTTAAGTAATTGTAACTTCAAAATCCTTATCCTTGATGTAAATATTTTGAGAGTGTGGCTAGTTGTCCATGCTTCTTTTAGATTTGTCAATTCGATAGTGTAAGTCAACATAATAGCATTAAAGATTAATCCAACATAACTTCCCAATTACTTAAATTTTAGGGAAAGAATGAATACTAAAATAAATATTAATGAGGAAGAAAATAACATCATTAAATTGGTCAATTCAATAGTTTTGTTCATTTTAAGTGAAATTTTATGATCTGAATTGTTGTTTATGTAGAAAAATAGTCAGAGAGTTGAGATCGTCTTGTTGGGCCTGGTTAACGTCACTCTTGTTTTCTAAGGTTTGATAGTGCTATTAATCAGATTCACCAACATGATCTCAATTTTGTAATTGCTTTTCTACAAAAACAACAACTAAAAACCATGCAATTTCACTCAAAAGGAAGCAAATAATCACCAATTTAAACAAAAAATATTTATAATTTTCACATTTATCCACCATTTAATGATCGCTTATACATGATAAAATGTTGGGACGCTTAAGAATCAATACCAGAATAAAGTAAATGTAACAGAGATGAGAATATTGCGTTGGATGTGTTAGATCTTTGGGTATGATAATCCTGGATAACTTCGAAGAATCGTGTTCGTACACTTTTCGAACAAAGTATTTCGACCCTATTTTTGCCTGGGTTCACGAAATCTTTGTGGGGATAATTCTCGAAGAACAATCTGTTTTTGGCAAAAGAAACTGATTACAAATGTAGAGAGAAAGTGTCGTTTTTCGTATTTGAAACCGATGCCAAATGACTCCTTATATAGGAGATCAATAACTGAAACTGAAAAGACACACCTGTTCGGAAAAACGGTTATGTCGGTTCGGAAAAACGGTTATATAGGTTATGTTCGGAAAAACTGAAAAGACACACCAGCCAGGGGCTCCGCCCCTTGGACCCCAACGGGGCGCTGCCCCGCACCCCGCCAGGGGCTTCGCCCCTTGGAACCCCAACGGGACGCTGCCCCGTACCCCGCCAGGGGCTTCGCCCCTTGGAACCCCCGTTTCAATTATTCATATTCAATTATACGTTGGCTCGACGAGCATGCACTCCGCACTTCCCTGACTCGTTTCCAAGCTTAACGCATAATTGCATCGGTCTTTAGTAAATCACACTACTACTAAAACACATTGGTGATACTAAAATCACCAACAGGATGTGTGGTAAGGCTAGAAATGATAGGATTAAAAATGAAAATATTAGAGAGAGTGTTGGGGTAGCACCTATAGTAGAGAAGATTGTCGAAAATAGACTTAGGTGATTTGAGTATGTAGAGAGAAAACTGCTAAATTTTGTGATAAGGAGAGTAGATCAGATAGAGAGAAATCAAACAACTAAAGGAAAAGGAAGACCTAGAAAGACTATAAAAGACGTTATTAAGAAAGATCTCGAACTTAACAATTTTGATTGAAACATAGTTCTAGATAGAACATTATGGTGAAAGTTAATTCATACATCCGACCCCACTTTGTGGAACAAGGCTTGGTTGTTGTTGTTGATTATCAATACTTAAAATGTTACCGATAACTATGATATTGTGGGTAATATTTGTGGATAAATTTAACTTTTCTTGTAACATATCTCTCAAATGAAATTGTTCACCCTCTCAGCACTAAAGCCACCTTTAGTGAAAAAGACTTATAAAAGAAATAAATGGAGTGATATAAGAGAGTAGTTTATGTTAGTTATAATTCAAATTTCGTTTCATTTTAGCTTGCATTTTGCATTTGAGACTTTTGTATATAAACTGAAATAGCTTTCAGTTTTCAGCGTAATAGAATTGTAATTGTTTCTGTTGTTAGAAGTTAGTTATAAAGTTAGTTACACAATTTTCTCTTTCTTCTCTCTTCTTCCATCTTCATATTCATCTTTAACCTTGTGCACCAATAATTGGTATCACCAACTCTAATTAGATTCACAAAGAAACACGGGTGTACGTGAGGCGTTTGTGATTGATTTTTGCTCATTCAATTTACAATCAATTGAAGATAAGAATCAGAACAGAATCACATTTCTTGATTATGAGGGATTGGGAAACACAAGTGTTGGTGAGATCCGACTGAATTTACACAAGAACGAAGATAAACGACGAAAATGGTAGGTTGAACACAAAGCTTCTAGTATTTGATAGAAATAGTTGTAATCAATGGATGATTTAGATGCATGTGATGTTTGACGCTCAAGATGTTCTTGATCTCGTCAATGACGGTTACACATTGGTTCCAACAGATGCAACTGAAGCACAAAAAACGCACAAAGAGAAACAAGGAAGAAGGAACATAAAGCATTGTTTTATATCCATTAGTGTATGAATAGAAATGTGTTTGAGAAGATCGTTGATTCGACGACCGCGAAGGCTACGTGGACATATTAGTACAGTGCTACGGAGATGATGCATCAGTAAGAAGGTGAAACTTCAGAGTCTACGTAAGCAGTGTGAGAATCTTAACATGAAGAATAATGAGAAGGTACCTGATTATATCTCCAGAGTGATTCAGATAAAAAAACTGAGATGAAGTCTTGTGGAGAAACGCTTTCTGAACAAACAATCATTGAAAAGGTACTGAGATCACTTTCTTCTTAGTTTGATTACATTGTTGTAGAAATTGAACATTCTAATAACCTCAGCACCATGATAATTGGAGAGTTTCTGAGTAGTCTAAAGACACAAAAGTTGCGTTTGACTGAGATAAACTATGAAAAAGAGGTAGAGCAGGCTCTGAAAGCTTCTTCTAGTAAGAAGAATCAGAAGCAGTCTTGGTCAGAGGCCAAGGAGAGACATGGTGGTTCTTAGAAGTCATAAGCCTCTAACTTTGACGAGAAGAAACATTGGAATGGAAAGGATAAGTTTGACAAGAGAAAGGTTCAATGTTACAACTGTGATAGGTTTGAGCACTTTGTTGCTGGTTGTTCATCAAACAAGGAAAGAAATTTTGAAGAAGCAAACATAGTCATAAGAGATTCTGATGGTGAACCTATTTTATTGATGGGTTCTGAATTTGATGGTGGATATTTGGTAGATTGGTGGTATATGAACACTAGTTTCTCAAATCACCTAACTGGAAATAAACAATGGCTGGTTGATTTGACTCTAGAACAAGGACAAAGATCAAATGTGCTGATGATAAGTACCTTAATACTGAAGGAATGGGAAATGTCAAAGTCAGAGTGAATAATAGAAAAATTGTTCTGATCAAAGATGTTTGGTATGCTCCTATTGTGAAGACCAATATGATGAGTGTAAGTCAGCTCGTTGGGAAAAGTTTCTCAATAACTATGAAGAACAATATCTTAAAGTTGTATAATTCTAATCAAAATTTGATTATGCAATATGAACAAAGAAGCAACATGATATTCAAGGTGAATGTGGAGACAACTGAAACTAAATGCCTTGGTGTAGAAGGTGCTAAAGGTGACAGTGAGCTATGGCATAAGAGATTGAGGCATTTGAACTTCAGGAGCTTAGGCCATATGAGTTCTAATAATCTAGTATAGGAAATTCCTAATATTGTGAAACCTGAGAAGTCATGTGAGATATGCATGAAAGGAAAGCAACCTAGATTTCCATTTGCATCAGAAGTGGCTCCAAGAGCAAAGCATGTTTTAAGAGTAGTGCATTCTGGCATATGTGGACCATTTGAAGTACCTTCACTTAGAGGAAACAAGTACTTTGTGTATTTTATGGATGAGTTCACAATAATGACATGGTAACACTCATCATGTTTAAGCATGAGGTGTTTTCTAAGTTTCAAAAGTTCAAAGTGAAGGCTGAAAAACAGAGTGGTCAGAAGCTGAAAGTTCTTAGAACTGATGGTGATGGTGAGTACAACTCTATAGAGTTCAAGAAATATTGTGAGGATAATGGAATTGAGAATGATGTTAATACTCTATACACTCCTCATAATAATGGTCTTTCTGAAAGAAGAAATAAAATTTTGCTTGATATGGCAAGGAACATGCTGAAAGAGAAGAAGCTCCCTCACACATCATGGGAAGTAGTTGTTGCCACTGCAGCATATATATATACATACTTTTATTTTATTTAATAAATACTTGAGAATAAAAACATAAAAATATTATACTTTTATTTTTTTATTATTATTTATACTTAAATAATACTTTTTCTAAATATATTTTATTCTTGTATATACATTATTTTATTTTATTGTATATAAATAGTATATTTAATATATTTACATTCTTAAAAGAAAATTAGGGTTTTACCCTTAATAAAAAATAATTTTTTTTTATTTCTTTCTTTTGCATTAAATATTTTTTACGTACATAAAAAATAAACATAAACATTTTTACATATTCATAATATTTTGTATATTTATTTAATTTGTTTATTTAAATATTATTCATTTATTATTTATGCCATTTATTCAATTTGGATGTAATAGTAAAATTAGGGTTTTAATTTCTTGCCAAATAATCCCCATTCAAAAATTGTATCCCCCTCCCCATAATCATGTTGTAATAGTGGTAGATTTACTTTTACGCATTTATGCTTCCAATTATGCCATGATTAGAGATTAGGGTTTGTATGCAAAAAGCCAAAATCAAACAAATAGCTTGACTAATACAAAGACAAAAAAGCATGTAAATTGACAACACAATGCACACTTGCACCCCTAGGATTTCATCCACTTGTTGCCTTTAAAGTTGGCCATGATATGCATGTTGAGTGTCTTGGCAAAACAAAAACAAAACAAAAGATCATAG